AAACAAATATATATATATAAAAGGAAATTAATAATAATTAGGAATCACGAAATCATAAAATCAACTTTAATTCTTTATTCAAAATTATAATAGTAAACATCATAAAAAAAATAAAATAAAATAAAATTAAAAAATTAAAAGTAAATTTTAGTTAAAATAATAATCCCCTTTTTCGCATCATAATTTCTCCATTATATATCCTTTTTCTTTAATCAACATTTACATAGTCGCGAAGAATAAAAAGTTCTACATCCCACTTGTTAAAACTGTTAAAGTATGAAAAAATCTACAAATCTCACGCGTTTTTTTTCTCATTTACATAGACGGGGATATTTTAATAAAACATTATTTTTGTTTACGATTTGCATAATGCATTTTTTTGTAAAGTAAAACTGCAACAAGAACTCTCTTTTATTTTAAGATTACATTTAAATGTTTAACCCTGCATATACAAAAATTAATGTAAATTATTATATTTATATCATATTTTCTATACATCGCCGCGAATTCGCGCTAACTATGAACGTTTTTATGGATTTTCATTTGTTTTTCCCACATTTTTTTTCTTCTTCCCTTATTTTTATGGAGTCGACACGAAATAAAATGTTTCTCATTTATAATTTCAGAACTCGATCTGGGGGATGAGAAGCTGGGCGATACTGACACCTCCTACCTAGACGATGCTAGAAAAGTTTTATCCGTGCCCACAAAAGAACCCGGAAAGGATTCTATTGCTCTTCCCTCTGGCGGGAAAGGTGGTGGGGCTACTAGTACTTCTAAGAGTAAAGTATGTGTTAGTTCGATGTTACATAATATGTTCGTTCAAATTGTGAATGGCCAATTTTTTAATAAATTAATATTATAGACACACTTTAATGACTGGACTTTTAGAGAGAATATTTTAAATTTAATTTGCTAAGTGAGAACCATTTTTAGCGTATTTATTATGAAATATAGGAAAAAAAATATCAAACGGCCAGTTTTTTCGTCTTTTAGTATCTTCGTTTTTAATGTTTTGTATTTAAAGTTTTTTTCTTCTTATATTTATTCAAGGAATGTGTCACGCTCGACGAATTTGGCTTACCTCAAATCCTTGATCTTTAATTTTGGTGATCTTAAATTAATATGCCATAAAATTATTTAGATTTATTATAATTTGTAAAATCGCAAAAATATGCGTCTCATAACAACTTGATTTTTATTTGGCCATGTATGTAGTTATAATATATTGTTTATTATATTTTAATATTTATTTAACATATATTTGATATGATGTTATTTTAATATTGCTGAAAATAAAATGATGATTGTTTTATTAGAAAGAAATGAGATTTTCAAATATAATTTTAGATTGCATTTAATTTTTTCGAAAATTATATATTTAATCTCAATAAATTAATTTTCCTTTTTTTTTTTAAAAAATAGATTTCTTCTTGATTTTAATTTCATAATAAATATTTTGCCAAATTAATAAAATACGAATAAAAAATAAAAAAAGCCGAATGAATTGTCAAATAAATTTATGTGGTAACCTACTGAATTAGATATATTAGTATATGGCAGAGACCTAGTCGCGCGTGAGCTATTTTAGAAAAATGAGTCTTGGCTGTACCTAACATTTTGATTTAAATTTTTATTGGGCGTTAGTTTCATGATTCTTAATTTTTTTTTCATGTGTTAATTAATAATAACTATTCTTCATAATTTTATGATTTCAAGTGATTCAACGTTGCTCAAATCTATAATGCTAATTAGAAGATCTGAAAATCAACCACCTTGGCCTCGAGCCCTCCCAGGTCGGGCTGGGTCAGGCCTAATATTAAAAAAAAATTCAGGTCGGCCGTGAGTGGTTTGAATTTTTTTTTATATATGATATTATTACATTTTGTCAAATAGATTGATATTATTTTAAAATACTTTGCAAGTAACAAGGTCCTGATATTTCTTTTTACTTTCTAATATTAAATTTTCTATATTTAAATAAATTCAAGCAGTGCCGACTAACAATTTTCATTTTGGGTCGCGCTTCTTTGGACAAATAAAACTAATCTTGTTCAGAATGGGAGCCAGTAGGGTCAAATTTTTTCAAAAAAAAATAGGGGCAGGGCCGATGAAAATTACTAGTTTGGAATGTTCCGTTCTTCTGTGGGAATACGAGGAAATCAAAGAAATATGCCATTATTTTAAATCAAGATTAATAGGTAAGAAGATATATTTATCAACTCAGGGGGTGTGGGTGGAGAAAGAGGGTGGTTTATATCAAAAAATATTAAGTTGCAATAATAAGTAACAATCGTTTTGAGGTCATAATTCGATGTTAACAATTTAATATAAATTGGTGAAATATGGTAAAATTAAATTTCAATATCATTTTTAGAAAAATAATAAAATGTTAATAAATTAATGAAAATAACATATAATTTTATCAAATATAACATTTTACATTCAAACAGTTTAGAAAAATAATAAATTATATTCAAATTAGAATAATTTAAATTAGTAATATGTCATATTGACAATATAAATTACGTTATATAATTGTAAAAATTATTTTGAAAAATATCTTTATAATTATAAAAATACTGTATATAGTGAAGAATTTAAAATTAAGATAACCTGTAACTGGCTAAATTTGTAAAAATCATTTATTGGATAATAATTCGTTTATAGGATTATACAAATAGAATAAATAGATATAAAATTATTTTTTTTAGATAGTATTAAAAATTAATCTAAATAATAATAATTTCGTTTTTTGAGTATTAATAAATATTTTATTATAATTGTTTAATGAGTAATTTAGCTGATACTAATAAATATTCATATTTTTTTTAAAACGGAAGCTTTTTTTTACTATTATTTTTATAAATAGTCGATAATAGTTTGCCTCTCTGTTTGGTCATTTTTAGATATTATTTGAATTTATATAAATATTTAATTTTTTATGCTACTATTAATTTATATAATTATAAATATCCGTAATTTCATTCACATTTTGGGAATTATACCAAATTTAAGTGTCAATTTTCAGTTAATCTATTTTTTTGAAAAAATGATAATTAAAATTTTAAAATCTTTATTTTCAAATTAAATAAAAGATTACTACGTTATTAAAATTTTGGAAAGGTTTATTTTTTCAACTCATTTTGTTGATACACTAACTTATATAATTATAAAATTAAAATATAAGGGATTTCCATAATTATGGGAAATTTATTTTAATAGGATTTATTTTTAAATAGGGAACCTTTTTAGTAGCAAATTATATCCAAAATAAATGTCAATACTCAACTATCTTATTAGATTTTAGAAATTTTGAAAAAGTTTTATCTATATTGATTTTAGACAGTTGTAGTTTAGCACTAATATTAGATATTCATTCATATTTTTCGAAATGAAAAATGCAAAATTTTTAAAAAAAATTTAAGTATAAACAATATTTATATATCATTATATTGCTAGAATATTTAGCTTTTTTTGTAATATCATATTCTAAAAAAATCTAATAAATTATTTCTTTTTTAGGAAATGTGAAAAATTGCAACCAATACCCACTTCACGGAGAACTTTATTAGTAACAATATTCATGATATAATTTATTCTTGTTTAATGCACACATAAGATCGACGAAAAGCTTCCTAATGACCAAATTTTAACAGAAGCTAAAGAAAATAATTTTTAAATCCTACAAAAGAAAGAATATGGAAACTGTTTTTATTTAAAAATATATGTAGTATTTTGTCTCTCAATCATTTTAACTCAAATCTTTTCCCACATAAAGTTGAAATTATTAATGTAATATCTGACTATTTTTTTATATGAAAAATATTAAATTTTTTACTATAAATTATAACCCTATATTGAACCTATTTTACAGTTCAATCCCAATTTTTTAAAGCCTGATTAATATAACTTCTTTTTTTTATTATTATTATACAATTTATCTATTTTAGATTGGGTGGTCATAACTTTTAAATCAACATGAACCCTTATAATTATAAATGGATTTAAACCAGTTAATAATGTTTTTGAAATTTTATTTATTTTCTAGCCTAAATTTCAAGCATTTTAACATCCATATCTCATATATTGTCTGTTTAGAATTGTGTTAAAACTGGAATAATCAATTTTAAATTTAGACACAAATATAAGAAAACTTATAAATTAATATAAGGAAAAAATTGAAAGGTAATTTTTAATAAAATTTCCAAATGATGGACTAAAAATATTTTGTAGAACAAAATGAACATTTTATGAATTATTATTTTCTATTTCGATTTTATTTATGAGAATTATCTTCAATTTATATAATATAGACATCTGATTTATTCATTTAAATAATCATTTAGCTTAATAAGAAATTTTTCCAATATTTAAGGGATAATTTTTTCTATACATTAATTATATTAAATTTAAAAAGGTGAACAGTGGGTGTTTATAAAATATTACAATAGATAGTGTATATATAGCAAAAAGTAGCCCAAATATAGTGCTCTTATATGGCCAAAAATTACTTTTTTAAAATCTAATTTTTATTTAAATATTTATTATCAATTTAAACTGCCTCCTAACTAAAAAATCTTTAAAATGCCAAATGGAGAACTCGAATTCTAGAATTATGATATACTAACAATTTGTTTACATCAGGTTTTTACCCGTACATAGCTAACATATTAACTCAAGATCACCAATAGGTAGATTTTGTCTAAATTTACAAAATTGAAAAGCTTTGGGGATTTTTTTTTTCCAAAATTTTGAGCAAAAAAAAATCTTTAAACTTTTTAAAGATCAAATTTTTTTATAAGAAAATAGTGATTTCATCATATAATATTTTCTATTTAAGAATTATAAAAGATTTATTTAGATTTGGAATTATAGATAAAATTTTTAGAGATTTAACATCTTTGAAGATCATTTAAAAAACTGGAATTTATTAACATATATTATTTGTTAACATTGATATATGGTGACATCAATTATAAATAATATATTTTAAATATTAAGCTTGAATACTTGAAAAATAGTCACATTGGGATTAATTGGAAAATGACTGGAACTTCAGATTTGGATAAACAAATACAGAATAGTTTTAACATAATTAAAAGTAAAATTAGGTAAATAAATCAAAAAAATTTGATTACATTGAACGTGTATGTATTTAAAATTTTAGCGATTAGAGGAATAGAATACATATTATATGAAATATTTATAAAATGACATTAATAACTAAATTATTTGATTTTAACAAGACATCCCCTCCAAAAACTTTTTCAGCCACATTGAATAAGGGTTTAACGGGGCGCTAGGAATAGTGTTTTGTATTTAATATAAGATAATTATTTTTTCATCATTAGACTCATCACTGAATAGGCTGACGTCTCCTGATTATAACTTAATGAGCTCTTCTTTTTCTCTCTCTATTATTTAAATATTGTAGAATATTCTAATATATCATTTTTCTTCTTTTAAAAATTTTAAGTTTAGTTTATTTTGAGGTAATTATTCACTTATCATCAACATAGATTTAATATGAAAATAGTTATTTAAACCCAATACTATTTTTATAATAATTTGACTTCCCAGGCAAAGCTTGATAAATCTTCGGTTAGGAGTTATACCACCTTTAATATTTGCTCCAACAGATGACAAAAATCTACAAATAGGATCACGATCAATAAGTTTATATTATATTATTAAATTTAAAATTAAATATGACCTAAACAGACGACATTAATGAACAACCATCGTCACCTGATCTAACACAAAAATTTATTTTGGAAAAAGCGAACGTTGAATTCAAATTAAATGACGTTGATGAATTTATCGATTCTTCCAGCAAACAGTATTCACATATAAACCCATTGTACGATAATGATACTCGTCTGCTAAGCAAAGTGAGTAAGTTATTATTTCTCTAAAATTTTCTTATAATATAATTTTTTTTTGGAAAAGATGAAAGAATCATTTATTTTTTAAAATAAAAATTTTTTCATTATAAAAATGTTTAACATAAATAACTTTATAGTACATATTGAACCATGATATTTATATTTTATGAACCCCCTCCCCATAATATCCGAACCGGATATCCGTTATCCTTGTCTTCCCCCTTTCCCTGAAGGGAATTTACTTTTTTTCTTCTAAGATATTTATATATTTATTTAATAAATAAATCCACTAGTGGACATAGCTTTATGCTTAATTTTATTCTTAAAAATATTGATGATTTTTTGACAACTCAAATTTCCTGCCAGTCGTTATAAATATATTTTTTTTAAATATATAAGCTGAATCAAACGAGCCCTAATAATCGTGAACGCGTACTCATCGCTAAAGAAAGTCGCGCTACCGATAAAAATGGTGTCGAAGGCAAAACTCGGCGTATTGAAAATGTACCCCATTCTTATCCGACCGATGTAGACGAATCGTGCTATAACCCGCCTCAAAAATTTCTGTACGATTTAGATAGAACCAAAATCGTCGATGAAATTATGCGCCGTAAAAGAGGCGGCCGGACTGTTCTAAATGAAGAAACGTGGAAAGATGCTGATTATGTTGAAGAAAGGCGCAGGACTCTCGAAAATTACCTCAAGAGCAAAGAAGTGGGGCTGAGAAAAAAGCGCAAGGAGCAAAATTATGCAGAAAATCTAGAACAATTAACTAATTTGCGTATAGTTTGATTAAAGAAAAAATAAAAAGGGATATCATGCTACACACAAAAATAGAGCCATAAAAACTAAGCCCATCAGATTCAGAGCATCGTCCTCTGTCTTGTTGCTAAAAGATAGGTTTTGTTTTAAAATAGTTCTAATTTTATGAAGTTTTATATTTGATTAATTTTTTTTGAAAAAGATATATTGGCATGTTATTTTATTGTATTATGGTAGAGCAACAATATTATAGGAGTTTCGAATATTAGGTTATTACATCGCTGGTTAGTTATTTATATACAAAATATGATAACATCTATTACATTCATAACATATAATAATAAATTGATATACATGATATTATGATTAATAGTTGCTGTATCATTATATATACATATATAAATATCATGTTATATTATTTGTAGTAATGATACATTACATACATCTAATAACTACATTTATAATATAAAATATAATATAATATACTCATAAATGCCTTGCGTTGTTTTATACTGTATTTTAGGCTTCTTTATGATCGAAAACTGATAGTACTCTTAAAATCTGAAGAAGGAAGAATTAGGACTATATTATAAAATTTGAATAGAATACAAATAATGCAATTTTTCTATTAGCATTTTTGAACAGATGACAATCGCCATTATTAGGGACAAATTTCCATGATTTTTGTTATATAACCAAAATTTTTTTCGAAATCAAATTTAAAAGCTGTTTTTTATTGTTGGCTTATTAGGGGAAAATGTGGTATGACTGGCCATGATTTTGCTTTTTTAAAAAAAAGGGATTAAAAATTGTGTTAAACCAAATGAATTTGGTTTTAATGTGTAGCCCAATTCTTAATCTTTAAAATAAAATTTTAATCAAATCTCTATCCATAATATAATTTGAGCTAAATAAAGTTGTGTGAAAGTTATTTTTCTGGCTAGTCAATACATGGTATGTATTAACTGGCCATAATATATTATTTAAGAATTTTATTATAAATATAAAATATTACAATATAAAATACTTGTTTAAGGATTTGTTATATTTCTTCGTTTTTATGTATCTCCCTACCTAGTGATCTTTTTTTCTAAAAAGGGACTAAGCCGTGGACCGTTAGGTCGGATGAGACCAGACCGTGTGACCTTAGTTTCAGTCCGGTCCCATTTAAAATATGTTTCTTTTTGTTATGCTATAAAATTTTTATTCTGCATTAATTTTATTAAATATGAAAGGTGTTAAATTACCAATAATTTAATTATATCATCAAATAATTTTTAATACCAAATTTATTGAATATAATATAAATCAATTTGCATATTTAATGAGTTTTTGATACATATAATATATGTGATAGATATTTGGTTATAAATATAATTCTAATAATCTTCTAAAATAAAATGAATTCCACTTTTTATCCATGATTCGAATTTCATTAGAGATTAAACCATCTTTGGATTCATTCTATTACATTTTTTTTGATATTTTATCACTAGCTTCAGAAAAGAACCGTTTATTATGGGAGATGGTCCATTTCTATTTTGGCCAGAATCGATATTGATTCCCTTTCCACCAATCTAATATGTTAGAATTAATTTGATATAAAATATTAGTTAAATGGCTTTGGATCACTTATTTCACCCTTCTCAGAATCCCCTGACTCTTCTTTTAAGGATATTTCCTTAGATAAATATATTGATTAATAAAATAAATATTTTTATATGTAGTTTACGCAAAAGAATAGGAAAAGCAAACAATGAATGAGATATTATAAAGTGTTAAGCATTAAATAATCATATTTTACGTGTTCACATTAATTAAAAAGGAAATCATTAAACTTATATCTTTTTTAATCGGTCTACGGTCGGATTGAACAACCAGGCCGTATTATCGGAACGCCCCATCGGATCCAATAGTCAGATAAGACTGGATCGGATAGTCGGTCCAAATTGCAAAAACCACCACTACCTGTTCAATGTCACAATTTTATTAAAATATTTCAATTAAATTTTAAACCTAAAAATTTATTATTTGTCGATAAAATAAATCATAATTATTTTATTTAATAGAATATAACTAAGTAAAATCATTAAATTTGACGAAAAAATGCATTTGGGATATTTGACCCCAACAATAACGATAGTTATTTTAAAATTAAAAAAATTAGTGGCCTCAAATTGGTCAACCATTGATAGACGCTATATTAAATGGGATTAATAAAAGGTATTTAACCTATCAACTCAATTAATTACATATATTTTATTTTTTAAAGATTTGAACATATATATGAAGATCAATATGTTCTATGCAATTATGCATCCAATATTCAAGCTTCAATGACCATGGATAAAACTTCCAAAGAACAAACCTAATAAAAATAAACTTATTGAAAAATGCTTTGAAAACCCTAGCAATGATAATGCAAGAACTGTTAATTTCGAGATATCCTTTTTTTTGTCGAGGAAGTAGAGAATGGATTGGAGGAGGATAACTTATCTCAATTCTTTGAAGCAAATAACAAAACAATAAATGTTTTTAATAAATTCCCCACGTTAAAAGATTTATTTATTAAGTACAATACCGCAATCACCTTATCTACCCTAGAGCGCGTTTTTAAATGCCGTATTAAATGCTAAGCATTCTTGTGTATCAGATGAAAATTTTGAAAAATAATCGTTATTAAAAATTAATAAGAAATATTTTTTATAAATAAAAATATCTTTGATATATTATTTTGAATTTATAATTATATTATCAAAATAAAATATATTATTTTTTAACATGGCTAATATTGTGTTAATAAATATAAGACATTTATTTATATTAGAAAATTTTAAACAAAACTTATCATAATTTTGAACGGTTCATGAACTTGAACCGCGTTCGTGAACGTGGATGTGTTCGATTTTTGTCGATGAACGCGAACGCGTTTGATTTTTTTAGAAATGTTTACAGCACTTGTATGATTTATTAAAAAAAGGTGTTCATTTTGAGTGGGAAATTGAACAACAAAAGGCTTTTGAAATTTTAAAAGGTAACCGATTTTAGTATGTTTTAACAATGATTTAAAAATAATCTTGGCCGTAGATGCATCCAATAAGGGTGTTGGAGGTGCATTATTACATATAATTGATGGTTTAGAAAGACCAATTATTTTTTTTTTAAGAATTTTTCATGAAGTTGAAACTAGTTATTCTGTTATTGAACAAGATGCCTTAGCAGTTATTTTGGATTAACCATGTGTCGTGAATATTTGATTTGTAAAAAATTTGTGATTTATACTGATCATAAACCATTAATTCATTTGTTTAAAAAAGATAAAAAATTAATGATGTCCCCGAGATTACAACGTTGGTTGTTGCTTGTGGGAAGCTGCGTCTACATGACAGGATTTTCACTGGATGCAAACCCCCTTCAAAACCTTTGCCTACCCCCCAAAAAAATCCCCACCACCTTCGGCGGAGATGTCTCTTTATCATTACTTTCACCTATTTATTTATTGATACTCTTTTCAAATAATTTATAAAGGATAACTTAAATTAATCTATCTCTACTACCAACTATCGATATTTTGTGAATATAAAGAATTTATTTTTTAGATAATAAATTTAATTAAAACCTCCATTATTTACAATGAATTAATTATTATGGCATTATGAGCTTGCTGAAATATCTAAACCTTTTATATTTAAAAGGATAGTTTATTTGGAAAACAATGTGTATGATTGTTTGCAATATATAGATTTGGTCGATGAATTGTATTATAATAATACTATAATAAAAGTATTAATTTTTACAGCAATAAACTTTGTCTTATTTCATCTCAAAATTTAATAGATAACCCCCCCAAAAAAATTAATCTTATCCTATCCTAAAGCAGCTTACCCCCTACAATAAATGTGTTCCATGTAATACCTGTGCCTCAATGCCCGTAAAGAAATGGGAGGTATATGTCCAAAGTCAAATCAACCTTGGGAAAGGGTTCACATAGATTTTTTTGATTTGGATAAAAAAAATATTTTTTTTAAATTGTGGATTTATATTCTAAATGGATTGAATATGGAGAAGTTCATGGGTTAACAACCAAAGTTGATTTATTTGAAAAATATAAAATTTGGTTTAATTATATATCCCGAATTCAAATAAGGCCGGTTTTTTACTTTTGGGAGGAAATGCAATATTAAACGCTTTATTAGGAAAAGATAAAAACAAGTTATTTCTTGACATAATTATATTTTATTAATTTTTACAATATCATAGGCATGTGAACAAGAAAATATTTTTTTTTTTTAAAAAAAAAGGTTGAATATTTTAGGAGATATAATCATAAATAAAATTTTCATTGATTTCAAAAAATAACGCAGGTGAATTATAAAAATGGATATATAACACATAGTAATATGGGTTCAAAATTTAGAGAAGTCTCCTTTAACTTTAATGACGAGTTGAGGCCTTGTAAACATTCTTAAACCTTGCATGTGGTTAGATACTTTATTTTCTCAATTTTTTTTAAGTTCTGCAACTGCCTTAGGTATGTTGTACAATTTTTTTTGCACCATCTACCATGCATTTTTAATCGGGTTGAGAATATGACTGGATGCTGGTCACTATCGTTACAAGATAATCGTTAATATATATCTCTTTGGTGATAATTTCTAGATATATTTTAGAATTGTTGCAACATTAAAATTGGTGTTGGCCTGCACCATTTGCAGTGACCTAGCGGAATACCGTGACACTTTTGGAGAATTTAAATGTTCAGTTTAAACAATCAGAGTTGAATGCTTCGTTTGCCTTTCTTATCACGTTTTTGCGAGTATACTATCAAGTTCCAATTCAGAATTAGACTCGTCGCTAAAAACAATTTTTGACCATTCGTTAAAGGTCTCATCTTTACATTCCTTTGCGAAATTGTATCGTTTCTTCTTTTGGTTAATTAATAGAGGAATTTTCTTAGACTTTCAAAAAAAAACCTTTAGAGATCCAAAATAAATTTTATTCATCCTTGGAATTTTGAAACTAACTTAAAATTACCATGTAAAAATTATTTGAGTCAAAATATAACTATATTTAAAAAAAAACTAAAGATTTGTAAAAGAGACAAGATGCAAAACAGCGTTATTTAATTTGGGATATATTATTATGAAAATTTAGTTTATGTATCGTTTTTTTTGGTAAAAAATTATTATACTTGTTTTTTTTGGCTAATTAATAATAAGTCGACAAATTAAATATTTTGCAATTTTCATGCATATAAGATCTTTCGAAATTATATCACAAAGGTAACGTTGTTAAACAACTCGATTTGAGACGATTTTTAAAAACGGCTAAAATCAATATTTTATCCGAAAAAATATTACGCAATTAGCCTTTGGTTGCTTTCTTTTTTGGCCTATTGAAATTTCGTTTTATTAGTGTTGTTAAGTCTTAAAGATTTAATATATTTTATAAAAATTTTGGACACGAGCTAGAATCCGTCATTCAGTGTCGGTGATTGGAACAAATTTTATTAACTTAGGATATATCATTTTGAAATTGTTGAAAATCAATCCATGTTTTCAAAGTTCTTCAGTGTATAAATGCTTCCTAATTAAATGGAATAATATGGTCAAAGATGTGTAGTGGTACTCTATGAAACTGAATAATATCAAAAATTAAAATTTTTTGTTAGTTAAATTTTAATGTCGAAAAGACGGAGATCGATAATAAACACAAAGAAAATGTAGATAATGGAGAAATCTCCCTTTCATGAAATTTGGTGCCTTTGATAACACATTCAAAAATTCACTTATCGTATTTCTTATTTCCTTTTTTTCGATTTTTAATAAATATAGAAAAATATTATTCAGCTAATCATTAATTTATATGATATGATCAAATTAAAAGCAACAAACACTCCAATATCAAAATATTTTTTGAGGTAATAAGTAAACTTAAGACCTCCAATAAAATTTATGGAGAAATAAATAATTTTTATTACCTCCCCCCCCTTCCCTCATCCCATCCCTCTTTATCAAAATCCTAGCTACGTTTATAATTGGATTGCACCTTGGGAATGCAATTTCCTGGATCTGATGACTATTTCCTGAAGATATAAGCGAGACTTATCTACTTAGAAATTAGAATTATAATTATAAGAAATTACATTTTATTACTTTTTATATAATTTATTTTTTGATACAACATTATAAACAAAATATTAATGTTATAAAAAATATTACAATACAAAAGTCTATAAACCCAAATTATTTTGAAACTTTTAAAAATATCAATTGATATTTGACGATTTTGTGTTATTTAGAATGACCGCCCAATCTGGGAATTTATTTACTTTAAAAATGAGTATACCGTAACTATTGATGGACAAATAGGTCACAACCATACATATCAAGTGCACCATTATTCCCGGTTTTACCTAAATGGTTACAATATTTTTGTAAATATGTAAAATAAATGGAAATATATAAAAGGTAATATTAGTAATTTCTAACAAAATACTAGGTTGTGTTATTATTTGAAATATTATATATCGCCAACCTTACACAATTTTTATTTCCCTATATTGTTAGTATAACTATACCATTAAAAACTTTAAGGATTAATGTGTTTCATTAAAATCATTTCAAGTTATTAATAACATATAATATAAACATTGAATGTTTTATTTTTTTAAATCTAAGAATTTTTTAATAACGTATGTAAGTTTTTTTCCCACAAAATGCAATAATTTTGACAAATTTAAAGATAATATGTAGTTGATATTTAATTAAATAGCAAACGTAAAACTGAATGGTCATTTAGCTCAAAGCCTAGGTTTTTAGAAGAAACTGCTTCTAAATATTGATGATCTGAAACGATTTCAAAGCACAAAAGAGTAATGGTCAATGAAATGCAAGTTATTGCAAAGATAAAACGGTCCCTGTAATCAGGAGGGCATTCCAATCTTTCTGCTTGGAAATAGGATGAGTAGTGACAGGTTCATTTCAGTTACGCTACAAGAAGATAGCCACATCTAGTAAATAGTTTCTTACAAACGAATAAGAGGCAAAGATAGCTGTTCACGAAAACCTAGAAAAGATGAATCCGCAAATCGATAAAGCCATTGGAGACCGAATTCCAATTCCTCCATTGGGAGTGGGTAAAGGAGTTTGAAGCCATGAGAAGTCATTAAAACCAAGATTGTTAATTTTTTCCATTATTTCTGTTATTCTTAATTCGTAAATATTGAGATCTTCGGGAAATTGAAAATAGCAGTGGATCTCACGCCATAAATAATTTTAGGGAAAAAGTTTTTAATTAGGAAATACGCCGTGTGATCAATAGGGGAATATAATAGTTTCTCAAAGTTTTTGAGGCTAGTTAAGATTTTTTTTAAAAATTACTGGATTGCTCCTGCAACACCGATAGACTTGTATAATATTCATAAAACTATAATTATTTTCAACGTCCGATTGAAAGGGAGGAATTCGGTTTTGTTTGTGTTTAACCTAAGACTATTAGAGAACCAAATTATGTAGCAAGCCTTAGCGATCTCTACAGGTGAACTACTTATTATACCGTTATCGATGTACCAAGTATGGGGATAGAGCTTGTAGATGCTTTTAATTTTTCCTATTACAATAAGACCTTAACAATATAAAAGTTAACCTAGAGGGTCCCCTTGTTTAATGTCTTCTGCACATGAGATAATTTGGTCCTCATATTGAAGAAGGGAAGAATTTTTGTAATTAGTTACCTGATGAACTCCGTGAGAAAGTGTTTTCTGTTGAGAGTTTCGTTAAATTTTTAATTAAATGTGCATTCAAATTATTATTTTAGAAATAAGTTCGAACGGCATGAATTGCTACACCTTAACCACTTTTAATACCAACACCTAGATGGGTGCGTGCAGGAAGACTACAGACAACACCTACATGCAGAGTTAAAATTATTTTGGCGGTAAGTCATCGTAAGACTGTACCTATGCGATTGATCTTATGTCTTCATTGATTCAATGAAGGCAATAAATGAACCAGATAAAATTGGGAGAATAATTGGCCGAATATTATCAGATGTTTTATTGCATAGTAAAGTTAGGGAATCGTGCAAATAAGTTATTGCAAAAATATAAGTCGTATACCTTCAAAACCATGGGCAAGAATCTTTTGGAATGAAAGGATTACCTATGATACTTCAAAGGGTATTGTGGAACTAACATGTTTGTTTTTCAAGGAGTTTTTGTAATGTGGTTTTGTCAAATGGAGCAACAGTTAGGGTTGAAAAAGCTAAATTTTTTATATTTAAATTATTAATTTTCTTACTAATATTTTACCATTTACAGGGTTTAAAGATTTCTGTCTTAATATGGAAATGTTGATTTATATCGACCATTAATTTATCAAGCAAGTTAATAATAGAATCTTTTACTTGTTGTGTAAAGCAAGTTTGATATTAAGATCAGGAGTTTTAAAAGCCCTGTGATCAAAGAGAAGATAATTTTTCCTCCTGAGAGTTGATTTTCGATGCTAACAAGAGTGCACCTTTAAGAATGCGAGAAATAGTTGATGGTGCCGGTCTCTTTAAAAATATTTAAACAAAAGTGCTTTGTCTAAGTAATATTGCTATGAAGAGCGATAGCGATTTGTTATTAAATTAAAATCGTCAGGAGAGTTTGACAGTGGAGGGAAGTAATAGATAATCGATTAGTCTTTATGAATTTGTGGCAATCTGAGCAGTTAAAAGTCAAGAAATAGATGGTGTGTTTAAATGATTGTAGATTAATATTATTTGTTGATAAACAAATATTTTAAACTATATTTCGCAGTATATTATTTTAATTTTATGTGCAATTTGGTTAATAAAAGATTTGAAATGAATCTAAATTATATACCATACCATGTCAAAAAAATTTAATTTTCCAGCCGAATAGAGAATCGCATTAGGTGCAGTTCCAATGGGTAGTATGAAGCAGTAAGAGGCGGCCAAGATAACGGGGAACATAAAATACAAGGGGTTTACTTTGTTACTTAACGCCTATACATCCACATGAAAAATAAAATATGTAATTATAATGATAGTGTTAATAAATGTAATTTCTTTAAATTTCATTAAATTTAGAAAACCTACTAGTTCGAACTATATATTTCCTTTAATAAGTAAATAATTAGTTCACTATTTGCTTAAATATGATAAACAACACAGAGTCAGTTACATAAACTACTAATTACGTGTGATGCATAGTAAATCAATATAATTCACTTAAAGATCACTTAAGATCATTTACTTACATATGCATTTATAAAAATATTAAAAATTAGATTGTCAATAAAGAAATTAATCATTTGCAATTTTTATATTAACATTTATAAATGATAATTTTTTTTAAGATTTCACTTAAACCTTGCAAAGTCTAGCAACGATGTAAACGGCAAAAAAAGCCATTTGATTACTTCAAATCACATAGTTAACACTTATGCTCTCCGACATACGGATACCCTCGGGCCTTATATATATAACATATGTATTTATCTTATAAGCTAGTCATAAATAAAACATATCATTATTAGTAATCTATTGAAAAAACCACATTATATCCAAATTATTTGAACGTTTGTGTTATATTTACTATATCCGAGATTATTTGCATCATTATACTAGCTGTGGCGATATTGCTGAGCAATTCAGTCATTAAGCAGGTTAAAGCATAAAATATGAGAACGATAAGTTGCTTCGGTAAATTGCGAAATAGGCCAAAATAATTCACGAACAATTTTGAAAGCCCAGAACTCTAACAAAACAACAAAATTATTTGTTGCTATTAATTGCTGTAAATTTTATCGAGATTCAGACTAAATTTAGCCTATTAATTTAATTTAAAATTATGTATATAAAATGTTAAAATAAAAGAACCTCAAATCCGGCAACCAGAGCCAATCCACCCCCTATAAACAAATTGATATCCCACATCAAGTCACGATAAATGTCTCTCCATATTAACAAAGGCAGGTAATCAGGGATGTCTCCTTGGGGATTATAATAAATGTGTTACATTTTTTTAGATTTTAATACATCTTTTTTCATTGTACTAATATATAACGCCTTAATTTATTATTTTAATTCAGCTATTCATATTTTAATAATATTTTTCTGACTTTAAAAAATCTTTAACAAAAGTTCTCTAATTTAACTTGTCTCTCATAAACTCGAATAAAACTATTTATAAAATAAAATATTAAAGTAGTATTATATTATTTTACCATTGTCATCTTTGATAAGAAGCACGGACCTAATATCCGTTGGTAATATGAAGAGTAGAAAAGCAATCAATAGCGCGGGTGTCGCGTCAGAGATATAGCTTTAAACATTTTTATAGTATTTGAAAGATTTTTTTTTATTTTATTGGAAAATAAGAAAAAACCTTTTTTCAAAGTATACTTGCCACCCAGGAACAAAATTAGGATTTTTGAAAATCCACAAAACGACTAGCGTGACAAATAAGCATAGAATTGTGATTTCATTTTGTCTTTAAATGTATAAACAAAATGAATGTGAATATAAAAATGATTATGTATGTATTTTAGGTTGTGTCCAAAATCTATTTTAAAAAATTTATAAAAGTTTTGAAACTTTCATAATAGTAATTTTTAAAATATTTAGAATTATATTTTGGACATGTTGTAATTTTCTAAACACTTATTTATTCTTTTTCGATAAAGTTTTTCCAATGCAACTGGCTTATAAAACATGCTTTTCCTTCCACAACGGAACCCACCGGATTATTTCCTGAAAATAGAAGACTCGATGAAATCAATAGATTACCTTGGAAAGATGAAAAATTACACATTCCTGTCTTGGGATTTTACTTGCATCGATCCATTGGATCTATTTGAACAAAGATTTAGTAGCTATAGAAGAATTAAAATGTGACAATATACATGAACATAAGACTAACAACACTTTGTTTCGGTCATCATTCGCTTCTCTTATCAAGCTCAAGATCTAATAAAAAAACTAGGTACCAATTTTGGTCAGAGTAAAAGTAGGGTTGTATCTTTGTCAAAAACTTGTAATCTTGGTCATCAATTCAAATTTTCATCGTCTTAACTCATTTCCCTCTTGATTCTTTTTTCTTATGATCTCTCCCCTTATTTCCTCTTTATAAATAATAAATTATATTTATTTTATTTATTTATCGTAATTTTACACTTTCTATATTTCATTTTAATTTGTCGTGTTGACATTTTCAAATATCGATCTAAGTACGTTTAACAACATTACTTAGTCTTATTTATGCCATCTAGATTTATATAATTTAATTTATCTTGGTTAAATGGGTTAGATCTTTTAACGAAAAATCATATTTCTATAATTCAAATATAAATTCTCGCTGACTTAAAAAATTCTCAACGAAAATTAAATGAAATATTTAATAAATTTTTTATATAATATTGTATTTATTAATTTTATATTATATGATAAATTGTTATAAAAAGCTTGTTTTTTAAATTATTTTAAAATCAATATTTTGCACACACTGCTATATTATATGAGAATTTTATAAGCTAAGGCAAGATCCTCTTATAGCAAATCTAAAAAAAATAATTACATTATTTACACTTCATATTAATTCACTAATAAATAAAAGTTTAACAGATGAAACCCATAACCCGCCATAATTCCATCTATAGGGGGGTTTGGGGAAGGGGCGAAGCCCCTCATAAATCTTCCCATAAGGAAATCCTGGATCTATGATTTACATAGCTTTATCATATTTAAAATTTTATATTATTATTAGAAATATAGTTCAATATTTAGTGTTGTTATGAAGATTTTGGTCATAGATGGCCCATTGGTTTGAACAACTATTAGAGAAATCTCGAGGTTTAGGCAATATTTTTCTGTCTAAAGTATTGATTCAGACATTTTTTAGCTCAAATCGAGCCGTTTAAATATGATTACATATATTGTTTCAAAAAAAATATTTTTTATATGGTTCAATTCAAGAAGAATAGTTATTTTTTTAACATCTGATACCACTAATCTAATTATAAATTTATAATATACTTCATTTTTCCTAATTTGTTTAGTTGTTCTTTTATAAACAATCTCGGATCTTCCTTGTAATTTTTGCTTCCCATTTGACTAAAAGTTTCCCTATATTACCAAATACAATTATATTATATAAAAGCGTTATTCTTATTATTATAGATTATTTAGAATGTGTTACCAAATAGGGTTAAAAAAATGGGTGGATAGGTAGACAAGTTTATTTTATAGAAATATTCAATGTGAGATGTGATTAAAAACATGAGTAAATGCTTTTGTGGTTTTTATAAATTAAAATATCTCCGTGTCATTAAATTTTTTTTTACCTAATTCCAAAGAAGTAAAAGCATAATTGCATCCACGTTAAAATTATGACGATAACTGCACCCGGAAAGACATATAGAATCCAAGTCATGAAACTGATTTCAGCTTTAGATGAAAAATAACTAAAAGTTAAAAAATAGAAGGTTTATTATTGTGAAAAATCATACACAGCTTGAATTAATTTGCAAAATTATTATTATAAACGTTGTAGACTGTCATTACGAAGGAATGAACTTGCCCTCTCAATTTTTTTTTACTGAATTTCACAAATATTTTTCTTGAAATTGAAGTCGATTTTCTGAAATTTTCATACATTTTTTTGAGCATTTTATTTTTCTAATCTGAGCGTTTTAGATTTATACCTGATCAAATAGTATTTATTTTTTTCTGGACACTTTAAGTTTTTATCTGAGTATTAAGAAAAAAATATGAGCAATTAGTAATTTTTTTTCCTGAGCTATATTTATTTTGAGGATTTGGGAATCTTTTTTCCTAGAATTTCAGTTTTAATTTTTGAGCGATTTAATAGGAGCCTAAATACAGTTACCCAGGGGCAGGTATTTTCCTATCAAATAATTTTTAAATGAAATTTGAAAATTAAACTATAAATTTATTTTTATAAGATACTTAAATAGTTCTAAAAATGTTAAAAAAATATTCTCATGAAAATTTTTAAATACTGGATGAACTGTGGTCCATTAAACATATTTTACAATGTCATTGATTTACTTTACATTAACAATTTTTATATAAATTTTTTTTGATAAATACAAAAAATAAAGAGATGCTATAACATGCACTGGGGAAAGGGTAAAAGGTACTCCGGGTGTTTTTTTTATTAATTACTTAATTTTTATTTTTTATTTTATAAGAAACTAAACTATTTTTTTCTTAAAATATTAATTTCTAACATAAAGATGTATATGTGGATAATATTACCCCCGGTCTCTCCTACTTAAATTAAGTTTATCATTTCAAATTGGGTAGTTTTTTATTACATATCAAATTGTTAGATTTGAAACCAAATTCATATTCTAAACTGCTTATTTATAAATTCTATTGTAAAAAATGAAGAAAGCATTACAAAATGAGATTTTTTGTTTTTAAAAAATAGGATCACCCCCACCCACCACATTTTATAACAACTGATATATTTTAAATGTCACTTTAAATGTTTAAAATTAAATTTTTATATTAGAAAAAAGCTTGGTAAAACACGCGTACAAATTAGCGCGAATTCGAGGCGAATTGTACAAAATATAATATAATCTTGCATTCAATTTCGTACACTTCCGCTAATTGCGCTAACTGTGAATGCAGGATAAGGCTATAAGAGCGTTTGGGCGTTAGAGTGCATAATGTTAGAAGATATTAAGCAAAAATAAACACGTTGCAAAAATAGTCTTCCCACGAATTTATATATTTTAAGCGTTTGTATAAGTTAAAAAAAAATTTTTTTGCAATAATTCTGAATAATTTCCTTATTTAATAGGTATATATATATATATTTATAAGATATAACTTATTTTCCTATATAATTAGAATTTTATATAAAATAATTACCAGTCATATTATGTAAGCCTCCCGATTTGGCTGATAGATGTCTAAACCTTTCTTCCTCCATCTATGAACAAAATCTCCAGGGTTACATAATATTATTTAGGTTATGAACTTAATCGGGCCGCTTAAAAATAGACCCGAATTGAGTTACAACACTAATAACTACCAAACGCTCAGATTTATCAAATGAGATAAACGCGTGAGAATGGCCTTACCATTATATATTTTATACATATATACGTATGATATTTACAGATTTAAGCTTCCGTTCATTATCAAATTAGTAGGGGAACCAATGAGGGATACCGTTCCACCTATATTAACAGCATAAGTGATTCCTATAAATATGCATTTGTGAAGGTTTCGCAATTGGTCTTCATCGTGCCTATAAAAATTAACATTATAAAAAAATATCTTACACCTGAGTTAAATTTTTTTTATGGTTAAGAATTCTTTTCTTCTTTTCATTTTTTTTTTACTTTGACAAGATGGGAGGATCATTTAAATCTTCATTTTCTTTGAAACCATTGATAATAACTACCTCTTGTCCTATCATATCAAATACAAGTTTACAATTAAAACAAGTTAAAATAATAAGAGATAAGGAACTAATTACTCAAAAAAGTGCTAAGGCCTCTATTTATGCAATACGATGCTTAGATTGTCCTTTCTATAGTAAAGTGATCAAACGGTAAAACAATTATATAATTATTATTTATATCTTAGAAACAAAATATTAGATATTAATTGGTTTGTTAATTATAAGACAACAGGTCAATTTTAGAAATTAATCATATATTAACTAACATTATAAATTATACTTATAGTTTTATTGTACAAATAATGATGTTTATTTATTCATTAAAGGTATTAGATTTATTAAAAATTATGAAAGGCTAGTCCCAATGTAATATTTACATTTATAGAACCTGATTGACGCATACAGACAGGTAGCCAGCGGAAGGGAAACAATATTTCACCCCTCCGAAGCCAAAAATCCAGAGAATTAATATAACTGCACATATTTTAAATCAGAGTAGTAGAATTATCTTCTTCTCATTATCATCATGTTAACCCAAAACTAGTTGGGGTCTTTAAAACGCATCCCATTCCTGCACATGACTCCGCTTTGGGCAATATCAACGACAATTTTCCTATTCAACATGTACTTGAGTATTTAAGGAATCCAAGCTAGTTGGTTGCCTTTACATTGACCCTCAACTTCAAGATTTAGAAATTGCCAATTTTAGCTGAGTCAGTCTTTAGCACATGTCCATACTATCTAAGTTCTCTTTCTTGGGCACCTTTATCCCATTCCCAGTGTTGCTAAAACTTATTTAGCCGTTTTAAAAAAAGCATTATCTTATCTTCGAAACCAAACTCTTTGGCCAAATTTTTTTAAAATCTTGAGGCTTGTAGGTAATATTTTCTTGATTAAAATAATAATTAATCAGATTTTAAAAAATTGGGTACAATTAAGGTATTAATGATTGCTGATATTTAGACTTTTATAAATTTACCAATTCTAGATGTTCAATAATAACTCCAAAATAAATTTTATAAAAAAATATTAAAAAACAGCCCCCCCCCCCCACCCTTTACCGCTAAGTAAATTCATGGCTACATGCCTGTACGCATATATCAATATTATTATTATATTGTGTGTACAATAATAATAATTTTATTACAAAATATTGCTTTATAAATCTTAAAATATTTTATCATCAAATTTTTTAAGGGTTTTTGATGTGTGTATATTAGAGATCTGCAAAGTTAGGCCCGGCCCGAGTCCAGCCCGCCTAATTCTATTTAAAATAATCGGGTTCGGGCCGGGCCTAATATTTTTGAAAAAATTTTGGTGAAAATTTTATTAGATATAATCTAAATTTATCACTTTTATATTGAGTTTTTTATGTAAAATAAAAAATTTTGATTTAATTTATCGAAACGAAACGCTATATAACATATGTATTTTAAGTAATTATAAAAATTAATTTCTATATTTAAATAAATTCGGGCCTGGCCGGGCCAGTAAATTTTTTTATAATAAATTTCGGTTCGGGCCGGGCCGGCAAAACTATTTTAAAAAAATTTCGGGCCGGGCTTGAAAAATTAGGCCCAATGCAGATCACTAGTGTATATTATATAAACTTGTTTACATGGTACGCAAAAGTAGGAATATATTATTAGATTTCGGTAAATATAAAATTAAATCACTATAAAAATCATTGCATCTTAGAAAATAAACCCTTCTTCCCCACGCCCAAGCAATGATAATTCAATTCAGTGATCAAATTTAGTAGTATATGATTAATTTAATGGATAAATCAAAACCGTTTTCTATTTCCTTTTGAAATCCGTGTTTTGAAGAAATCGTAGTGACTTTAGTTATGACCGAAACTTTTTTGAATTTATGATATTCCTCCATTACCCCAATGGCTACTGGCGCCATTAAAATTGCGGTGGAGGCATTGTTTATCCAAATAGATACGAAAAATGTGGACATTATGAATCCCGAGGCCATCCTTTAAATCGAAAATGAATATAAATTTAAAGAATGTATCAGGAGCGATATTAAAATTTTGACAAAATTAGCCATTCTTTTGAGTTATTACAAATTAAACTTAGTTATATTATATGATTAATTTTTGTAGTACTCTTAGTAAATTAACTTGCACCTAAATTCTTAGTAAATTTTATTCGGCAAGCGCCTGTAAATATTAACCCATTTTTAGCCATTATCTAACTGTACTATTTCCCTAATTCTTACCAATGATAGCTTAGTTATATTGATTTTGATACGCAGGCGCGTTCGCAGGAATTTTCTATGGGGAAAGGCGGAGGGGATAATTAAAAATTTTTTTCTAGGAGTTATAAAAAAAATATATTAAGTTTAAAAAATTTATTCGGGACTAGTGAAATCAAATATGAATAAGTCTCGAAAAAAGAACTTTGTGAAGAAAAAAATTCTTTTAAGCATTTAAAATTTGATATATAAATTTAAACTATAATTTTGAAAAATCTAAATGTAGGAAATATAGTTTAATCAATGACATATATATATGTCATTGAGTTTAATGCACCAAAATATTCTTAAGAATTATTGCATGTATATAAACTTACAAAGTATGATCATTAAAGTGTTTTAAAAAAATGGAGAATCATGTAATTAAATAAGCATATTATAAATTTATAAAGTAAAATCCAATTTTTTTAAGGATTGAGCTAATTTTTCAATGATTTCATCAGCACTTTGTGAACTCTCTAAGTGTATCAAAAAGGGTTAACCCATTTAATCTAAGAGGTAGTACTACTCTGGTATGTTTTAAACCTTCTCAAAGAAAAAATATATTCTTTTATTGGTAGAAGTAATAAATGGGTGAAGTTTCCAAAATATATAATAATATTGATACATTGGGAAAATGGTCTAAAATGTGTTAAATTATGCAAAGCATCTATAACATTTTTTGAAACATTATCATCATCATGGTTAACTTTTTATGCCATAGTTTGTATTCGGCAAGGAGTTTTGGATATTATTCTGCTTGATACATTTTGTCTCTTGTGAAATCTAAACATCTTATAGATACTAAATTTTTTACCTAATGTAATCAAAATAAATAAAATTATATCTAAGCAATTTGATATCAATGGTAGAGAACATGAATAAGAGAAATTGCCAAGTTCGTTAAGCAGCACACTGCACATATGTAACCGTTGGAAATTTATTTTGTAAAGCCCTGAAGTCCATTGAATTATCCATTCATTGAATAGGCTGCTCCATCATACCCTTGTCAAGAATGACTGGTTTTATAATTTTCATCAATAATGGTAAAATATAAGGTCCCTATATCCATTCTTTAAATAAATTGTAAACCTGAAATTTAAATTTTTTAAAAATAATTTATCTAACTAAGTGAAAAAAAAATTTATTTGGTGGGAAATTTTAAAATGGTAGACAAATATAATGCCAAGAAATTGAAATAGATATTAATTCTTTGAATAAATTAGTAGCGTATTATGATTGTAGCGAATGGGACAAATAATTGTAGATTGAAATGCATAGATATGAGATAGGAAAGTTTATAAATTAAATATATCGTATAATAAGCAAACAACAGTAGTTTTAAATAATATTTTAACCGGGGTATAAATTTTTAGGTTTGAGGAAAGGGGGGGGGGTTATTTTTCTTCTGACCTTCCCCGGTGCGTACGCACCTGATGATATAGGTTGTTGTTTAAATTTTATTTTATACCAGATAGGTTTAGAGCCTGAACGCATTAACAAATTCAGGGCTATTCTTTTATGCAAGTTGGCCGATTCGATACCTTTCGCTAATATGACAGATGCGAAGAATAATAGAATAGGATCCTGGTGATAGAAAAGAAATGTTATTATTCGCAGATTTACTTTGATAAAAGTTAAATTTTAATTCAATAAATTAATATTAAAACTTTTTAAAAGCCGATCAATTTATGTCCTTCAGGACAAATTATCAAGCCCGGCTAGGATTTTCAACTATTTTCGAGTCAGGCTTAGTGGTTTCTATAATTTTAATTAATTTTAGTTGCATATTATAATTGGTGTTTTTAAACGAAATCGAAAATATGAAAAGTGAATGAATATTAAAATCATTCTAATTTTTCATATGAATATTACGAGGTATAATTCTAAGTTTCTTAAAATTTAATTTTTAGCTCGGCTAGGGTTATATCCGCCCTCCCCTATTTATTCTTATAATTTTTTCTTTATAATACATAACAAAAGTCAGTATTGAAAATTAACAATTAAGAAATAATTTATAATTTCAAAGATTGGTTAGTGGACTAAGATCAAATGAAAATAGAAGATATTTTTTTCAAATAATGATTTATTGTGATAATTGTTACCTTAAAGTACATCGATGATACATCTTTAACCGTCAATACACCTAACATGGGAAATAACAAAGCTGGGATTAGAGATGAAAGGGCTATCGGAAGAGCTCCGGTTATTAGGAATGATAAGGTAACCAGACAGACAAAGACAGATTTTATTTCCTGGTTCAAAAAAAGTGTTTAATTTTTTTTTTAAAATCAAATTCTTAAACAATTAATCTGGAACTATATTGCAATATAAGACATAATACTTTCCTATACCACACCTACAAATACAAATCAAATAATTGGATATTCGATTCAAAATTCATATTCGTACGAATCAAATAATTTAGCATCAATATTCGTATATAAATAATAATAAAAATATTCGATTCAAAAATTTAATCTTTGCCTTCCAAATAGTGTAAAAAATAATACTTTCTTGATAAAAGATGAATAAATTTTATTAAGTTAGTGGATTAGCCGGCATAATATGATGTAATCCTCGAGATTCGGCAAATAGAAATCCAAACCTTTCTGACATCTATGATCAAAATCTCCAGGCTTACATAATACTATTTTGGTTAATAATCTTAATCAGGCTATTTTTAAAAATCGACTTAAATCAACACTATATTGAGTTGAAAAAAATAGTGATAAAACAGTGTATTTAAGAATTTGTATAGAAAAAGAAATATGCTGAGAAATAAATTTACTCAAAAATATTAATTATGCAAATTATGGAATAAATTCGATATAAAGGCTTTATCCAAATTTCGAAACCATTATAAATCAATTGTTATACGGCTGATTAAGTTTATCACGTTTTGCAATAAAAATAGTGTAACCTTATATGAATATTTTTATTTTAAATATTTATTAATTAAGTGACAAATACTTCCGACTGATATATATATATAATGTATGTATATGAACCTAATAAATTTAACATATTTGACAAATTATTTTTTATTTATTGACTCAGAATTAACATTTTTATATATTTAAAAAAAAATTACAAATAAAGAAGCGCTACGATAAACGCGAAAGGATAATATATTCTCCGGGTGTTCTTCATAATTCTTAAATTTTTTTAAAATTTCATATTTATTACTCCAGTCCCCTCCTTCTATATGTGTTGTTAGTTAAAGGAACCAAATCTGATTTTTCTTTTATACTTGTAATGTTTCATACTGGAGCCAGGGCAATTAAATCATCTTCTTCTGATGAATAAGTTCTACTATTGACATATTATTCTCATACTTGATTGATTAAGAATTCAACAATAAAAACATATCATAAATAAAATAAAAATGAAAAACTTTGGTGGCTGATCTGTATTAAAAATCTCGGTTTAAATTATTTAATAAAATTTAAAAAAAATAAATAATTTTAATAATAAAAATTTTTTTTATAATGATTAAATTTAAAAGAAACGAGTTACTTTTTGAGTTACAGTTACTCAAAAAAAAGAAAACGCGTTTCAAGTTACATTTTGAAACAAGTAACAAATGGCGTTCCTTTTTCTCAAATATGTAACTCCGTTAGTAACGATGTTAGTGTTACTTTCATCGACATCATTTTACAGTACTAAAATAATGGAGAATTTATTTCTGTGGAATTTTTTTTTCCGAGAAATTGTCAGGGATATTTTTCCCGGTGGAATTTTTTTACGGGGAATTATTTATGGGATATTTTGTTTTTCTTGGTTTTTTTTCATAATTATTTTCGGCTTACCTTAACAACATGTTAGATATATTTAAATGAATAAAGAATTGCATGGAAAAAAATATATATAGAAATAGAAATTCACTACATATATAGGAATAGGATTATAGAGAATATTTGATTTAAAGCAACCCAAATTTATGTCCACGCCGAATTTAAATTACAAAACGAGGTTATATACTTTCAAAGTTTTTTAAAAATAATGTTATAAAAAACAAACTTGCAAAATTAAATGTGAAGGCTATTCTTTAAAAAAAAGAAAAAAAAGAAGGTATACCTTAGTTTTGTAAAATATAATTAAGGGTGAGAATATTAAGGGTATAAGAATAGAGATGTAGAAATTTTTAATCTTCGTTAAGCGTTTCAGGGCATTTTTCAGTAAATGAATGATGGAATATTCACTTTTGGATTCAATTCTTTGCTGGATCATGATAAGTAATATATTTTATTTTATAACTTGTTAAAATATTTTAGTTAATATAGAAATCTGAATTATTTCTTTTTTTAAGAGTAGAAGAAAAAAAAATTAAGCAAATTTATTTAATGAATTTATTTAATTAATAATATTATTATAGTTTGTTAAAAATTTATTTAAAAAAAAATTAAGGAAATGCTAAGCTTTCTCCAACTTCTTGTAAAGATATTAATATAAAATAATTTTTATATTATGTAGGGAAAAAATGAGTATATATCATATATATGCCAAATATATGTTTAAAAATTTTTATTTTATTTTTCTGAAAAAAGATTAATATGATTTTTGTTTGGCCATGAAAAGATAATCTATTTGAGACACGCACTTCTGTGACATGCTACCTATTTTGACATCTATACCTAGCAGCGTTTTACTTTTTGCCAAATAGCTAGTGATAGTGACGCGCGCTACTTTTAAAAATATAAGAGATATAACTATAAACACAAAAATTAATATACAATTTCATAATTATATTTTTTTAATATTTAATTTGAAATCGAATTTATAAAGTTAAAATTTGTATTATAAATGCAATCAATTAACTGGTGTTAAATATTTAAAAGGTCCATGCCAATAGATATTGATGTATGTGAGTCAGGCAGATAACAAAATTATGCTGAACCTTTCGGCTAAATTCTATTAACCCTACCTTTTAAATTTGTGAGGGTAGAATCTCAGCTAAATTCCTTGGCCTTTATGGCTTTCATTCGTCGCTTTATTAGTATATTATTATTATAACATTGAAAAAGTCGAGTGTAAAGGAATGGAAAAATTTAGGGCAATGACAATAATGCAAACAATGATTAGCAGAATGTATGTAAATATTGCTTATATATATATAAATAAATATTGATGCAAAATTAAAATAATATTTTACTAGAAAACCAAATGTTGGCTATAAATTTATCGGTTTAAAGGCAGGAAAATCATTGTTATTATTTATTTTTTAATTTCTATTTCTATTTTTATTTATTCAGAATGTTCGGAGACAGAAAAATATTTGAATAATTTTGATATATAAAGCCACACACAAATATGACCACATTGATTAATCATACTTTAGATGTTTCTCAAAAACTCACTGCACGAAAGTTATAGGAGTGGTAAACCATTATGCCTACACCATCACCGGGATGTCCAGATTATTCCCTCCTTATTACGTATCAATGAATCAAGGACAGCTGGCCCCGATTAGAGACCTATTTAGCATTTGTAAAAGCGAGCAAGGTAATCGAAGCTTTAAAAACCCCCCTCAGAATCCATTATCAGGCTACCAATCCCGAATACACGGACGCCTCGGGTTCACACATAGAAGTATTTTTTGGGGGTTATGACAACTTATCCATATCATTCCACGAAGCTACCTTGCTCTTCAACGTCCCAACGCATGCAATTACCCACATGGGAAGGGCTATCCTAGCCCTAAACCGATACAACCAACACCCAGTCATTTTTACAGACTCGACAGTAGCATACTACTCCTTCAAGAAAGGTGGTTACCATCTATCGATATAGTTCTAACCCAAATGTTAATCAAACTGGGATTACCCAACTTTATAGCCATAGCTCATAATATCCAATGGGCCCCGTCAGAAGAAAACTCGGCAGAATAACCTTCTAGGACTTGGTTAGCGGAGAGAGAACACCTCCAGCTTTTTGAGGGACCTATTCTACAAGCCCCGGTCCTTTTACAAGAGCACCAAGAATCTCTCTTTGGATCCGAAACAACTCCATCTTTAGGACAATTAATATCCAGTGCTACACCATCGTTAATATCCGGCCTCTCGATACCTTCCGAATGAGCTTCTACAATTACACACAACTGGGAGTATGTTAGGATAAACTCTATGGACCTAATCAACTAGGCAAACAACCAAATCAAAATTATGAAATACAATTACAACATATACGTCGACTCATCCGTTATTTATTATTTTATATAAATAGCATAATATCCGTTATTGTAATTATTATTATTGTATTTCTCGAATTATTGTGTTCATAAATTTTGATTAAGTTAAATAAAGCCTATGGAATGCCCAAACCATAAAGGCCGAGGCATTCAGCTATATCCATATTTTCCCCAAAAGGGGTAAAATATACAAAGGATATAGCTGCGAAGCATTTTTGTTAATAATCATCTAAATAGCCAATATCAATTAAGTGGATACCACCACAGAGTTTTTGTGACACAATCAGGTTGACCCCATATTTGATTCAAATCTATGATAGGAGATCTCACAAATAATATTATTATAAAGAAAAGATATTTTCAACGTTGGCATTATGAGCTGATATTGAAAAAGGATTGGAATATAGGAGTAATCAGAGGTATTTTTAGTGAAGAGTAGATTTTGCACATTCAACTATCTGATTGAAAATTTGTAATTTCTATCCATTGGAAACATTCGTTTCTAGAGGTTCTGACTAAAGAGTAAAATATAAAATTCTATGTCTACATTTAATAAATTATTTTGCAACTTCAATTTTTTTATCCATTCAAATATGTTTATTTTTTTTTCTCGCTTGCAAATCGTCGCCTAAGAAATATATGTTCTATCTCCACTTTTTTTTAATTTTGAATATTTGAAATGCTTTCCTAATTTTTTTAATTTAAGGATATGTATATTTAATAGTTAATTATATAAAATACTATGTTATTGGTACCAAATTTAAATTTGATTATTTTAAGAATTATTATTCTATTCTCCAAACAACTTCTCTTTAAATCCAAAATTATTATTGAATAATAATAATTACTATTTAAACAAGACAACAAATTAAAATTTTATTTTAAAAAATTTAAATATAATATTTTAATGGAATGAATAAATATGGTATTATTTTTCTTTAATATCAGGATCATCTTTAGATAAAACCATACAATCAATTAAAATAATCTTAATTCCATTTACATAATACTTGTAAACGTTTTAAAGAATCATGCTAGATGGATTGATTATTTTTGTAAATTAATATAATATTAACAATATGAGGAAATAGAATAATTCTAAGTTTTTTTAAATATAAATTCATTAATATATTTTTAAATAATCAATCTATCAAAAAAATTATTTTTGACAAAAAATAGAGATAGTATAACTTCTAACTCAGGTGACAAAATTATTTAATGATTTAAAATGGTTTAACATTTCAATCAGAGATCTTTATGGGGAGGCTTGCCGCCTATGGGGTGCCAAATATGATAAATTTTTTAACGTGTCTGGGCCAGGCCTGGGTTTTAGATAAAAAGCCTAAAAATATTTTATTTAGATTTAGAACTGTGACTAACTTAAAAATATATTGCATTTTTTTCTTATAATAATAATATATTTCAGTATTGCAAACAAAATGTTTGCCTAAATACACTAATATATTGTTTATTTTCATTAAAAACAATAAATTAAATTTTTGAATATGGGGGTGGGGGGGGGGGCTTTAGCTAAATTTTTGAAATTTATGATGAGCTTGGGTTTGAATTTTTAAATATGTACTGAGCCTGCAAATTATTCTTAGAGCTGATCTGGGCTGGAGGCTGATGAATAAATCAAGTCCCATGAAGATTTTTAATTTCAATAACCAAAATATTTCATTTACCATCTTACTTTATTTGAAAAGGAAATGGAAAATAGATTATTCAAATCATTTGCAAAAAACTTTCTGATATACCCTGGATTCAAGAAATTGTTGGACACATGGAAATAAAAAAAGTCATTGTGATGTGTATATATGGAGAATTAATCCATTTTTATTTTTGCATAAAAAAAAATAATGCCTGTTGTGACTTTGCCTTAAATTTACATATAATTTAGGTATTTTTAAAGAACCCGTTATCAAAAACATAAGTTACTAGCTGATAGACCGTCAAGAATGACAGGGAATCGAAATTTTCTCATTTATTAAACGATGGGTAACTAATATATTTCGCCTTTATTTGATGATGAATCAGACATTTTCCTACCTTATTAGGTATTACTCAGAAATTTATAATTATTTAAATAAGGAGTTATTCTAAAATTTTCCATTATTTTTATAAAATATGTTAATGAAGTATATATTTAGTAATTTAAATTTTTATGCGCTATCAAAAATCTTTTAAATTAAACTTTATTTGTTGTAATTTATAATCTAAAAGGTGTATGCTAGACATTAACATATATTATAAAAAGTATGGAAAATGTTAGAATAACCCCTTATCTAAATAAATAATATTTCTTAATAACACTTTCATAAGATAGGAAAATTTCTGATTCATCTATCATCAAATAAAGGAGAAAATTATGATTCCTCGTCATTCTTGACGGGCGGGCTATCAGCTAGTAGTATAATATAATAATTACAAGTAATTTGGATTACATTTATGATCCTCTATAAAAAGTATCGTTAATTATGAACAATTTAAATTACATTATTTATTTTAAATTGTTTATCAGAATATAAATAACAAAAAGTTAAAATTAATGCTTTGTTAATAGTTTCTAAAATGATAAAACTAATATAAAAATAGTTTAAAGTTATACAAAAAAAACACCAAATTTTAAAACTTAAAAATAAAATATAACATATCTTATGGATATAAAAGGGCAAAATTTTAATAACAAATTGATTATTTCATTAAATTTTTATTAAACTAAAATTAGATTTTTTAAAGTGGAGGGTCCAAGTGTTCTAGGTGTCAAAAAATTTAAAATTATAAAAATAAAAATATTTTATTAAAAAATAATATTAATTTTTTAAAATTTATTAACTATTTTTGTGGAATCATTTATTTTATCTTCGCGTTTTTCTTTCAATTTACTTCCTGGACTTCCATTTTATTTAGAGATTGATATCATAAATTATTTTCCAGTGTAATAATATTTTATTATGTAAATTTATTAATATGCTATGTTATAGAAATACGTTGATTATTTTGAATGTGAATTATTTTGTAGTACAAGTAATAATATTTTGATTTAAATGAAAATGCACAACACGTTTGTCCTCAGATGCTACAACGATTATTAAGTTTGAAAGATTTTTGTAATGATTTTATTATAGATGTGAAGTCATTTTGTCAGAAGATGATTGGTGCCAAATAAAGGACCATACAAGTGTACCTTAATATTAAGATTACAATCAGAACAATTATGTTTATTTGATTTTAAGGCATATGGAGATGCCGATTAGATTTAGAAAAATTTACAGTCCTTTTTATACGAAATATTTGAAAACATGAAAATTCGAGAGCAACAATATTTGCAAAATAGTGTTGTATACGCTCTATATATTTCGACCCTCGATATAAAGTTTTATTGAGTATTGAGCAAAATCAAATGGCTAAAGACCATCTTAAGGATTTATGGCATACGCAAAACTCCATTATTTACAATATATTGGAGGCTACGACAATACCTATTGGTCATAGTAATAATAATAATAATGATAGCAACATTAATGATCTTGAAATTTTACTTTTAGATAGAGAGAAAAAAAAATCAAATTATCATAAGATAGTCAAAAAATGTTTATTGCATCCTTAATAGTAAAGTTCTCAGAAGTTAGAAGAATAAATAAGGATATAAATATTTTAAAATTCTGGGAATAAAATTCTTCAATATATTCAGAATTATATATCTTATCTAGAATCTTCATGGCTGTGCCGGCGACACAAGTATAATTTTATAAAGATAACTATCTATTTTAGGTAAGGGTAGAACGTGAATTTTCATCTTAAAAATATATATTGTCTACTTTACATAGAAATCGCAAGGATTATGTTTTAGAGATATTATGATTGTGGGAGAATAAAACATTTAAAATGTAAATTATTTCATTTTTAAATTTTTCATTTGTAAATTATGAATATGTATATATATTGAATAATAATAAATGAATGAAAAAAAATCTAATTTTGAGCCATTATTGTTCCCTGAATCCGGACCCGAAGCCTGGACCCGGGTCCTTTCAAATTTTATTCCAGTACCAGAACCAGGACCTGTACTCTTTTCTTGTCGAAGGGTTCAGATCCCTGTTTAGAAGTTTTATGTTTTAATAGGCATAAAATTCTAAAAATTTTGCTTTTCCATTTAGATTTAGTGGTTAATGGCGAATGAAATTTAATAATTTTTCTTTAAATTTGGGGGCCGAAAATATGGAGGATATTAATGGCGGTGAGAGGGGGGGGATTAAAAGGCCAAGATTAGAAGCAAAAATCCTATTGTGTCTGGGTAGGGAGATAACCCCAATACCGTTATTATCCTTTACAATCATAAGTCACAAAAATCATTTTTTAAAATTTCTTAATTTCATTTTGCTATGCTTTTAAAAGTGCCCTTTTATTTTTTTAGGGAAAATAACCTTTTTTTTAGATAACAATTTAAAATAACATGATATTTTTAAAAAATTTAATATTTTCAGAGGGCTTTTCAAATTTTCAAAATTTTTAATCTTTTAAATATATTTTAAAGGCTTGATATTCTACACACTCCCCCCCCCCCCATTAATGCTATTAAGCAGCCCCCATCTCTTCATGCGACACTTGTAGCCATGGCCCTGTTAGGATAAATGGTTAATGCTGATATAATCGATATCAGGGGTATTGGTGAATTTTGGTTGAAGGAAGCTTAGCCCAATAAGACTAAGATAATGATAAACAGACTTAGGTGGTATGGGCATACAATAAGAAGGCCTATGAACTACATAGGAAATAAGGTTGAGAGTTTGGAAGTGTTGCGTAAACGTAAAAGAGGAATGCCAAAACTTCATTAGGGCCATAAAGTTAGAGCCAATATGAAGAAGTGTAAATTAGATAAACGAGATAGTATAAATAACATAAAGTGGAGAAAGATATTGAAGGAGCTTAACACCAGCAAAGGTGAAAGCTAAAGAGAAAAAAAAGAAAGAAAAAAAGGATGATACAAAAATAAAACCTGAAGAATTTTATTTTTGAAATTATTTTATTTAAGTATAAGTAGTATACCTGTTTTTTGTTAATTTTTGTCTCATTACTTTTTAACATTTGATGTTTAATTTTATTATTTAATAAAAGCAGTAACAGTGATAGGTTGTCAATTATTTGTATATATAATATACAAACCATAAAAATATAAAATGGCTGATGTTGAATTGATTCAAAATTTAACTTCGTACAAAATTCAGTTTGAACAAGTAAATTTATTAAATATTTATCAAATAAAATATACAAATAAATTTTGATAAAAGGTTGAGGCTGCATTGTCAACGGACCCGGAAAACGACGATTTAAATAAACTTAAAAAAGATTTAGAAGTAATTTCCGAAATTATTCATTAATTATAAGATGTATTTTTAAATAAAATTTTTTATATAAATTTTAAAGTATTTGACTATTTATCAGATGGATTAAGGTTAACGCCCAATGCTCATTTTATTTTACTCAGGTTAAAAGATATAGACATCTGTATGAAATTATATTTATTTATAAATTTATAAAAACTATTGTAACAATATCAAAAGTATATCTTTGTCATTATCTAAACATAATAATTTAATATATTTTTTTGTAGGATGTCATTGCCCTAACATTAGATTTGATACAAAGGCAGGATGCACCTCCTCATAATCGCAGAGTTGTTGAAGAAGAATATTATAATATAGATTGGAAAGTGGGAGATAAATGTTTTGCAATTTGGTCTAAAAATGGAAAGTAAATTTAAAAGTTATTAATTATTTGATTGCTTATATTATAGTTATTATGAGGCTATAATAGATGAGATAATTGATAGCAAACATGCAACTATTACTTTTGCCAAATATGGAACAAAAGATGTGGCTATAGTAATATTTTATATAATATACTAAAAGAAATGATTTTTTTTCAAGATTAAAAGTTTAAAACCATATTCAACGCAATTTAATCAAGAATTAAATAATCTACATTTAAAACCACAAAAAATTGAAGCAATAGAAGCATCAAGTTATGCCTCTGTTAATCCTTTTAATCCAAATTCTATCTCAACTAAAGATAAAGTCAAAACAAGGTTTTTAATAATCATCCTATACATGTTAGTTGTTTTGTTAAACGGTTAGTTTTGAGCCAATTTATAATAACGGCTAACTTCATACAGACAAATATTACCCAGGCCTGAAGATTTTGCTCACAGAAGGAACAAAGATCCAGACATATTGTTGAAATCTCGAGGCTTAGGCAATATTTATCTGGCTAAATTGAGTTAGCCATTTTTAAAAATTGGCTAAAAACAAGCTGTTTAACAACACTACATGATAGCATAAATGTGATATTCAACATCTAATTTTTGAGTATGTGTTTTAAATTTAAAAATCTGATTTTATTGGAAATATATTCACTTATTTGTAGAATCCAACAATTTCTAAACAATTTTGCCCATCTATGGAAAAATGAACAATATATTATATTACATTTTCAAAAATCACAGTTAGTGTTGCGTAATTGGTTAATTTTAGCCAACCTAAAAATCAAGCCCAATTAAACTAAGCCTAAAAATTGGCTAAGCTCAATTAGGCTAAGCCTAAAAATCAGCTAAACCTAGTTAGGCTAAGCCTAAAAATTGGCCAAAATAAATAGTCAAAAATTTTGCATCGATGCCTAGCATATTATTTATTTATTAGTAAAATAATTTATTTTATTTATATTTAATGTAAATATTTTATTATTATCAACAAATAAACATGATATGATTTAATATTTTTTATTTATATTGTTTTATTATAAAAAAAATAATATGCTGCTATTGTAGAAATGTAATATTCTTTTTAATATAATTATTAGTGATTTTCACAATCTACTTTGTAAATACATCTTTTAGGTGAAATCTTTTATAATTTTTTTTTATCAATTTTGTAAAATGATCTATATTTTATTAAATGAAGTGTTTTTTTTAAATAAATTTAAAAAATATTTATATTAAACTTTTTTGATGTTATTTTATATGATCTTTTTAAGGATTATATTTTTTAATGTGAGAATTGTCATAATCGTTATTTTTAAAGTTTTTTGAATTTTTTTTACGAATATAAGTTAAAATAAGTATTGATAACATGTTTGATTAAAATTTAGTGAAGATGTACCGTAGAAAAGTGATGGTTGTCATAATCGTTATTTTTAAAGTTTTTTGAATTTTTTTGACAAAAATAGATTAAAATAAGTATTGATAACATGTTTAAATTAAATTTAGTGAAGATTTACCGTAGAAAAGTGACAATTGTCAATCATTATTTTTAAAGTTTTTTTAATTTTTTTGACAAAATATGTTAAAATAAGTATTGATAACATGTTTAAATAAAATTTAGTGAAGATGTACTATAGATAAGTGACAATTGTCATAATCATTTTTTTTAAAGTTTTTTGACATAAATTGGCTAAAATAAGTATTGATAACTTGTTTAATTAAAATTTAGTGAAGATGTACCATAGAAAAGTGACGATTGTCATAATCGTTATTTCTAAAGTTTTTTGATTTTTTTTGACGGAAATAGATTAAAATAAGTATTAATAGTATGTTTAAATAAAAATTTAGTGAAGATGTACCATAGAAAAGTGACAATTGTCATAATCATTATTTTTAAAGTTTTTTTAATTTTTTTGACAAAATATGATAAAATAAGTATTGATAACATGTTTAAATAAAATTTAGTGAAGATGTACCATAGATAAATGACAATTGTCATAATCGTAGTTTTTAAAGTTTTTTGACATAAATTGGCTAAAATAAGTATTGATAACTTGTTTAATTAAAATTTAGTGAAGATGTACCTTAGAAAAGTGACGATTGTCATAATCGTTATTTTTAAAGTTTTTTGATTTTTTTTTGATGGAAATAGATTAAAATAAGTATTAATAACATGTTTAAATAAAAATTTAGTGAAGATGTACCATAGAAAAGTGACAATTGTCATAATCGTTATTTTTAAAGTTTTTTGAATTTTTTTGATATAAATAGGTTAAAATAAGTATTGATAACATGTTTATATGAAGATGTACTATAGAAAAGTGATAATTGTTATAAACGTTATTTTTAAAGTTTTTTGATTTTTTTTGACGGAAATAGATTAAAATAAGTATTAATAACATGTTTAAATAAAAATTTAGTGAAGATGTACCATAGAAAGTGACAATTGTCATAATCGTTATTTTTAAAGTTTTTGAATTTTTTGTTTAAATAAGTGTTGATAACATGTTTAAATTAAATTTAGTGAAGATGTACTTAGATAAGTGACAATTGTCATAATCTTAGTTTTTAAAGTTTTGAATTTTTTGACATAAATAGGCTAAAATAAGTATTGATAACATATTTAACATAAAACAACATTAAAAAAATCCAGGACGGGCCGGCCCTGAATATATAAAGTACGGACTAAAAATCCTGGCCAGGCCTAATTTTTTTTTTACAAAAGGAGCAGGGAGGAAATTTTTATATTTTAAAAATTAGGGTCGTGCAAATAACACCTCTACTGCTATCTCATAAATTAATTATTTACAAAAACCACATTTAAAAATTCATATACAACACTTAATATGAATAAAAATTACCTTTAAAAATATTTAATAAAAAAATTTATTAATATTTACATCAAATTTTATGAAAAAATAGAAAAAAAAATGTCGAGGTAATAATTGATTATTTATCAATCAAATTATCTTTAGCTTAAAAAAAATAAATATTTGTATTTTAATTTCTTAACCTATAAAATTAATTATAGCACTAATTTTAATCCATTTGTTTCAAAAAACTTAAAAATAACGATTATGACAAGTTGAGAGTACATATTTACTAAATTTTTATTTAAACATGTTATCAATACTTATTTTAAAATATTTTCGTCAATAAAATTAAAATAACCTTAAAAATAACGATTATAACAATTGTCACTTTTCTACGGTACATCTTCACTAAATTTTATTTAAACATGTTATCAATCTTATTTTAGCCTATTTACATGTACAGTCTATATAAATATATTATGCTTATTTAATGACCAAGGAGGCTAATATCATTTTTAAAAATTTTTTTATTCTATTTACCAATGGGGGCTAATATTATCACCAGGGAAAAATATTATTACTAATGGGGTAAATTTTTTTATTCTTTATGAATACTTTTTACCCACTCAGTGGTCAAATATAATCACCTTCACCAAAGGGGGCAAATATTATCATCAAGGGAGAAATTATTATTACTATTGGTGTAAATATTAGTCATACTTTATAAATACTATTTGCAAATATTATATAAATTCTAATTACCCCTAGAGTTAACTATTTTTGCTCAATATCAAGCTATAAATAAAAAAATTTTTTTACTTTAAAGATCAAATAAAATCTTATTTATATTATAAAGCTCAAATAAAATCTTATTTTTAGGAAAGAAATAATAAAGGCTCAACAAGAACAAAAAAAGAAAAAAGCCCTAAAAAAGGCACAAAGAGTTAAACAACTTGATTCTGAAGGGGAAGTCGAAAAACAAAAATGGAAGGATTTTTCCATAAAAGTTAATATATAATTATATTATGATGTGTATAAGATTCATTATACTTTATACCAGGTACCTGCTGGCTTGGCCTTGACCCAGGCTGTATTTTAATTTTTTAAATATACCTAGGTCGGGCCTACAAGTTCTTTTTTAAAAAAATAACCAGGTCTGGCCAAATATTTAAAATTAATCTAGGCCAGGCAGTGCAAATAATATCACAGCAAGTGTCTGCTTTATACATATTTATTTAGTTGTTATATAAAATTGATAAATATTGTTTATAATAATAAAGGCCCGGCCCTACTTTTGCACATCTCTAATTCAAATAAGCCATTTTCACAGTATATATTTTTTTTTTAATATTACTTTCTCATATTAAGCCAAAATCTTTTATAAATTAAAAAATATTTTTTGTAAAATATAATCTAACTAAAAGATTCAAAACTTTTCAATCAACATTATCACAAGAAATTTGTTAAAACACTTGACTTCTGAACATAATATTAAAGAAGATATTTCATCAAAATCGCAAGATTTAAAATTTTTTTAAATCTAAACCAAAATTCTAGACAAATTTTAAAACCTCTAAAAAATGGCTTCTATCAAGAAACTATTATGTTATGCTGACTTATTGCCTTTTCAATCAATTGATAATATAGGAATTAAAGATTTTTTGAAGCTATCAAATTTATAAAAAAATTGATATATTATCTATAATTATTCTACCTTTATTTTTTTTTGGTCTATTGAAAATTGGCTACAGAGGAATATTTACAATAGTTGAATTTCATAGCCATGCTAACATTAAGATTACACATAGACATTAATGATTTATATAATAATTGATAATTGCATATTCATTTGTTCATCCTTTTTCTGTGTAGCTTACAACCCAGAATAAATTTTTAACAAATTTATTTTTTCTAAATTCTCCCTAATTTGTTGTCTAATATAAATTAAAGATATAATGATTTAAATCTTATTTTAGAAATATCAAGTTATCAATTTTAATTCTGATTTGCCAGACAGGACCACTAAGCAGTACAGCTCTTAATGATGTTTACCTATCAATGAAAGCATATTTACAAGAACAAATTAACTTAGGGCCAAAATTTTGCTCAATTACATTTGATATGTGGACAAGTCAATACAGAAGAAGAAACTATATTACATTTACACTTCATTTAATAAATGATAATTTTGAAATGATTTACTTATCTTTAGCAACTCATTAGATAACCCAAAAACACTCAGGTGAGACTATTTTAACTGAGGTTGATAAAATAGAAGAGGAATTTAATTTAAAAAAGAAAAAAATACAAATGGTCACATATGCTGGGCCTAATGTTAGAAAGGGTGTTCGATTAGGTGAATATGAACACCGCTTATATTTGGGTCATGGTTTACACAATCTGGTTACAGTAAATGGTAATAAAAAGGTATCCTTTTTTAAAAATCTCATCAAAAGAATTAGAGAAATAATTAATGCTCTAAGATATAAAACTGCAGAGTATGATAAATCGAGCTACTTCATTTTGAAAAAATAGATTGGAGATATAATCTATAATAATGTTAAATTTATAGATAAATATATATTTTTTCTGGCTCTCAGAAGGCACCCTTTCCAAGAGAGTCAACATTCTATCACCCAACAATACATTTAATTTTAATCCACTTGCCTTTGATATAATTTATTTGGTACTAAAATTATCAGTAGTGTTTCTATCCTTTATTGTTGGCTCCAATGAATTTAATGTAATCATACCATCTGTATGAGAGTTTAGAGCCAGAAGCACCCAAGTCTTGTGCCCAATTTTATCTTATTTAATTGCATTTTCAAGTTTTTCTTATGCATGATACAGAAATTCCATCTCTATGCTATTAAAAATATAATTTATCACTATTCATATATATTTACCTTAAACTAATGGTTGATTAACCATCTAATTAGACCTGTGCGCCGACAAAACTATCGGCGGCCGGCGCGATTTTTAAAAATTTTATCAAAGGCCGGCGGCGCGCCGATTTTTAGCCGCCGTCAACAAAAGCGGCGTAAATCGGCGCTGTTATAAATTTTTATATAATTTTTTTTTAAAAAATAAAATATACACTACACTACACATATCTTGGCATATTTTTTTAATCTTTATTTAAGAAAACTCATACATTCAAAAAAGATTTTGCAATTTTATAATTGTCATGTATAAAAATTATTTTATTAAAATTTTTCGGGCATAATGATGACCTCCTCGAATTCAACGTCACAGCGGTAGAGAAAACTCTTTCACTGGGTGTACTAGTCGCCGGAATACATAGAATTTTTTTCGCCAGCCTGGAAAGATTGGGAAGTCCACTCTTCTTTTCTCTCCAAAAATTTAAAACACCCATTTCTTGTGAATGTCGTTTTCCAAGTAGAATGTGGCATTCTTGTTCTAAGTCACCTAATGTGGAATCATAATTGTTAATTGTGGAATGTTTATTTGCCAGTTTTGTCAAATAACTTGAATTTGATAATACCTCTTGATCCTCAGTCGCTATATTTACTACCTTAATATCATCATTCTCTATAAGTTTAAGATGTTTTATTATAAATTCTGAAGTTGTGCAATTTTGCTCTTCTATATACTTTGACACAATTGTCAATTTTAGAAATCTTGGATCTAAAAGAGAAGCCAGTACCTAGATAATTTTTTAAATAAAAAATAAATTAAACAAATGAATATACATGTATATTATTACTTGCAAATCACAAACCGGAAATCGTAACGCAAGTTTTTTTAGCATATTTTCCTTAAGTGAAATTATTTCAGAACTATCACTATCATTTACTATTAAATGTGTTTCAATTTCACTTCTAAAAAGTAACGCCAAGTTTAACGTAGGCCCTTTTTGTGCTGAAAGAAATTCTACAGTTTCTTTAAATTTTGATAGAAATGCCAATAGTTCTTCTACCAGATCAGATTCATAGGTTGATAATTTTAGAAAGGTTTCCCAATTCTTTTTAAAACATTATTTATTAAATTCTTATTTAATCCCGATATGCTTTCTTGCATAATTAATATACTATGCCAACGTGTTGGGACATTTAATTTTAAAGTTTTCATATGCGCGGAATTATTATTATTATCATTGGAATTTCCAATTGGTATCTGGGTATGGATCAGTGCTATCAAGATCTAACATGTCTGATGTTAAATCTATTGTACTTAGGCAATTTCTTTGATCTGCCTCGAATTCAAATTCAACCTCTGCAGTTTTATATCTTAGAGCAGTAATAATTTCTCTAATTCTTATGATGAGATTTTCAACAAAGGGTACCTTTTTAATACCATCTACTGTAACAAGATTGTGTAAACCATGACCCAAACATAAGTGGTGTTCATATTCACCTAATCGAACACCCTTTCTAACATTAGGCCCAGCATCTGTAACCATTTGTATTTTTTTCTTTTTTTTAATTAAATTCCTCTTCTATTTTCTCAATCTCAGTTAGAATAGTCTCACCTGTGTGTTTTTGGGTTATATAATGAGTTGCTAAGGTAAAGTAAATCATTTCAAAATTATCATTTATTAAATGAAGTGTAAATGTAATATAGTTTCTTCTTCTATATTGATCTGTCCACATATCGAATGTAATTGAGCAAAATTTTGGCCCTGAGTTAATTTGTTCTTGTACATATACTTTCATTGATAGGTAAACATCATTAAGAGCAGTACGTCTTAGTGTTGTCCTGTCTGGCAAATCAGAATCATAGTTGATAACTTGATATTTCTAAAAATAAGTATTTTGAAATTTATAACAGAAAATCATTATATCTTTAATTTATATCAAACAATAAATTAGTTATTAGGGCAAATTTAATATTATTTTAAATCATTCATGTCTATGTGTAAATCATATTATTAGCATGGCTATGAAATTCAACTATTGTAAACCTTCCTCATCAGCTAATGCTATTTCAATAGAAAAAAAAACAACATAAAGGTAGATCTATTATGAATAATATATCAATATTTTTATAAATTTGATATCTTCAAAAAATTTTTCATTCCTATATTATCAATTGATTGAAAAGGTAATAAGTCAGCACAACATAATAACACATAGTTTCTTGCTAAAAGCTATTTTTTAGAAGTTTTAGAATTTGTCTTTGGATATAAAATATTTTTTTAAATCTTGTGATTTTGATAAGTATCTTCTTTAATATTATGATCAGAAGTCAAGTGTTTTAACAAATTTCCTGTGCTAATATTGATTGAAAAGTTTGAATTCTATAGCTAGATTATATTTTACAAAACATATATTTGAATTTATTAACGATTTTGGCTTAATATGAGAGTATAATATTTAAAAAAAATATACTGTGAAAATGGCTTATTTGAATCTTCATCGTCTACAATAGCCTTTTCCAAGCAAGAATTACAATAAAATTTGTCCGACTTTATGGAAGTTATTTTATTATCTCTTTTTAAATGTAAGAAACCAAAAAATTTCCAAACAATAGATTTTTTAATTAAATGTTGATGCATCCATTTTAAAAATATGTAAAATTATGGTAACTTTGAACGATTGAATTTTATAATGACATCAATATAATTATAATTTTAAAATTGTAGAAGGATATGGTAGAGTGAATTTTATGATGAAATCAATATAATTATAATTTTAAAATTGTAGAAGGATATGGTGGAGTGAATATTATAATAACATCAATATAATTATAATTTTAAAATTGTAGAAGAATATGGTGGAGCTATATAACATTCAAAAAATAAATACAGAAAATTTAATGAGTGCGTGAAATATAATTTAAATATATTGCTATTTAATAACTATTTTTAATTTATTAATTTATTAATTCCTATTATATAATAAAAACATGTAGAAAATAAAAATTCATTAAAATCCTGATTGGCATTAATAAAATTACAACAGTGATGTTGACCAATTATTAGAATAAAAAGGTATAAAATATGAAAAAAAATTCTGCGCCGGCCGTATGCCGCGATATGAAAATCGGCGGCGCGCCGGCGCAATTTTCATAAACGGCGGCGTTTTCGGCATACCCAAAAATGCCGGCCGGCGCACAGGTCTACCTTAAACTAATGGTTGATTAACCATCTAATACTAATATAGAATTCAAATTTTTTAGTAACTTTATCATCCCATATTCTAAATTATAATAATATCAATTAATATAACCTAAAATAATATAAATATAAATTAATATATTCTAAAATTATATAAAATATCATTTAACTAAAATTATTATCAATTAATATATGAAAAAAATTTTACTTACAATTTTGTATCTATTTTCAAATTTTATAGCGCAAAATTAAAAAAGCATATAAAAAAGTCATATCCCACTCTACCATCTAAAATGCATAGACTTTTAAAATTAAAAAAAATTTTTACGATAGATTTGTGAAAATATTTAAACTAATCTTTAGAAGCTTAAATAATTTAATATTTCACCATGGCATTGGTAAAAATAAAAAAATATATGCATTTTTACTTTATCTGACGTGGGCATATTCTCACTTGATATTATATCTAGAAAAGATTTGGAATTTCAAATCGCACTACTTCATTATTAAATATCTAAAGGATTTTGATAAAAATATAGATATTTTATCATTTTATAGATTAAAATTACAAAGAAAATGGCAATAACGGTGTCGTCATTTTTTTAAAGAATGTTTATAGCACTACTATATGTTATTTTTATACTTAATAAATATCGATGCTGATTTGCCTCAAGCCTAAATTTTCTATCTATGATTTTAGAATTACATTTTTCTTAGCCTGATTTACCTTATTCAATTAAATTCGAAACTTTTAAAAAAATTCCATTAACTTCTGATTTTTTTTTTCCAATCATCAGCAGAGGTCGAATTTTCTAACTGGCCAATTGATATAATTTGATTAAAAATCAGCCTAGCCTGGAATTTTTCCTTTTAAGTCAAAGCTTGGATCTTAAAATTAAATCAATTTTTTTGGCTCTTTCTTAACCGGGTTTCCCGTGCCATCTTTATATAATTTTACAAATACAATTCATCAATACTTTTTATTTGTATACATATATAGGCTATAAGGTAATCAACTAATTTATGAATATTTTCGAACTTCTTAATTTATATTGATTAAAACATTTATCCGATGTCGGAATGAATAAATGGACACGTGTCTATATCAGTTTAATTTTATTTAAGAAAAATATATAATGCTTAATCTCTTCATTTTTTTTTATAAAAAATTTATTTATTAAACAAAATTCATCACAGGCCATGACAAAAATGAAAAAGGGTATCACCAAAAAAAGCATTTTCGCGACACCCGAATCGGAGGCAGGCAAAGTTGGGGTGGGAACTTGTGGTTTGGGGGGTAGACCCATGTCAAAGCCGCTCAACGTTGCTCCCAAATATCCTAGACAAACATGATTACACACAATAATATACTCATGCTATATAAATCGTATAGTTCATTCAAAATTTTTATAGTAATGTTTCAGCAAGAGCTGTGGCATGTTTTCAATTGTTAAAGTTATATTCGGAGATACATTGGAATTTTAAATGTTTTCTTTTATTAAACCTTTTATAATAAGAAGAATAGTTTGAAGATTCATTAATTGTATTTTATATATATAAATTTTTTTTAACCTTGTATCGAAATAAATGAATACCTTGATCAAGAATTTTGGCTCGTTTATTAATCATAATTATTTTCGTTTAAAATGAGAAATTTTTACTATTAATTGTCATCAATATTTATCTAGTCTAGTAACATTTTAGTTTAGTTGGATTGACTAGAGATAATCGAAGCAGATATTTTGTTATATTTATGCCTTTCATAAATGTTAACTTGTAAACTTCACAGATTATTAGCATCTTACTATTAGTATTAATTAATAATTTTTTTATAAGTGTCGAAAATATATAACAAAATTGCCTTTTAAATACTATATCATATTCTTACTATATAAATCTATATAAAACAAAGCAATTATTAAATATTTAAAATATTAGTATCAACAACTAGTGTCGTTAAACCTATCGATTTAGACGATTTTATTACTATTTTCGCCAAAATTAATATCACGCACTCGAAATTTTGTTAATAGATGTTAAAACCTTTCTGTCTTCTATGAAAAAAATCTCTAAGCTTGCATGATTTGGCTGAAATATTGGGATTTTATGTTTTTTTAGAAATCGAGTCGTTCAATAACAGTTGTTTAATATATATATAGAGTTTGTCCTAAAAAAATGCTTATTTCTTAAAATTCATTTAAAACGCACGAAACTTTTCAGAAACATTGTTTAACATAAAATAGTTGGTAAGGCTTATTCTAAAACTAATCAAATACTGAATTATTCGTACTCAATTTTTTCGGAACGAATTGAACACTTAACTATTCGTAATTACGCTATCGAATGAGAATAGTAAATTATTAAATTTGAACGAATCGATTTTGAATTACTCATTTTTCGAGTTTTAGTGGACATGTACTTTTAGTGTAGTGGGAAATAATGGTATTTTTGTTTTTCTTGCATATTATATTTTGTATATTGATTTGTGTTTTCTTAAATAATATATAAAGTGAGAACATTAATAGTACACTTCGATAAAAATAGTGCTATCCTAAAATTTTTATTTAAAAAATAGTAACCAATAAATAGTATACCACGTGAATTGTTAATGTTAAGACATAAGTACCATTTTTCCGCTCTATAAACCCCCATACCTTAGAGAGTAAGTGATGTAAGGAAGTAAAATATCATTTTTTAAAATCTTAGTTATATTACTAGTGATCTGCCTCGGGTCTAATTTTTCAAGCGGCCCGGCGCGAAATTTTTTAAAATAAATTATCCATGCCCGACTCTATCTCGAACAATTTATTTTTTATTTGTCCCGAAAAGTTCGACCCTAAATAAAAATTATTTGCCTTGAATTTATTTAAATATAGACAAATTTAATTTTTTTTTTTTGATATTCTACAAATAAAAAAATATTAGCACCCTTGTTTCTTGCAAGAGTTTTAAAATCAATTTATTTGACAAAATATAATGATAATCATGTTTAAAAATTTAGGTCTAATACAGCCCTAACCAAAATTATTGTTAAAAAATAGAGGCTCGAAACCCATTTGGGCAGACCCAGTTAGGGGTCTGGCCGTCTAGTATATACTACCAATATACCAAAAGTTTTTAAAAAAATCTGAAGAAGTAGGGTTGAAGATCAATTTTTTTTTTTAAAGTTGATTTGATATGAAATTTACCATATATATTTATGAATAATCCTTCTAAATTAAGATTTATGGAACAAAAATAATTTAAAAAAAAAGTTGCGTTGCATATAATACAGCGTTTATCCTTAATGGATTATACTGCCCACAAATTGAACGTTTAAGTTTTGCCATTATTTTTTAATAAAAAAAACATAACGCATCCCTTGTTCAAAATAGGTTGCCTTTTTATTAATATCGTCTATTCAAAATTTTAAATAAGTTCTAAAAAAAAAGGATTTTTTGAAAATTATATTAGCGTCTGCCTTTTTATTTCTTTAATTTCGAAATATTCCTTCATAAGATATAAGTAAGTTATTTATATTACATTTTTATATAATTATCACAAAGCGAAGGATAGAGAAGCCGCCAACAGAGTTAAACCCTTCTCGGTAGGTAGAATTACAGTGTCAATTTCTATATGTATTTTCGTAACGAAGAAGCAAACCTATTTGCATTTTTTTATAATAGTTGCTAACGCCAAAAGGTAATTTTGCCAATTTGAGGCCATTCGAAATGCAGCAACGAGTTTGAAACGCTCAATTTGTGAGCATTAATAAATTTAATCATGCGACCACATACCATCGATGATAATTATTCTGATAACATATCCCTATTTTTTTTTAAACAATATTAATGATATTGATTTTATAAATAAACTTATTCCAGGCGTGACTTAGATATAATTTAGTTCTAACAACTATAACACAAAAAAAACATACCTAACATAAAATTGAAATATATTTAGTAAGTCATTATAGATTAAATGAAAAAAAAAATTATTATTAAAAATTATTAAAGTTTCAAGATTAATTATTTTTTTTTAAAAAAGAATGAATAATTAAAATTCCATAAATATTTTTTGTTTTAAAAAAAAAAACTATTGTGCCATCATATGGAATATGGATTGTATTGCGACAGTCCAAGATCATAATTCCTTTAATTACAATTTACCAGTTCATGCAATGTGGACATTGCATTGCACTATATATATTAATATCTGATGTGGTCGAAATAGTTTTATTTCTGTAAAAAAACATATAGTTATAAACGTATCCAGTATTATCATATAGGGGGAACTATTAGACGGGGATTTCAGGCACAACTTTTATCTGTAATTGTAGACCTTTCTTTGACTATGTTATATTTTATGAAAATAATTTTGTGTTTTCATATTTTTTATTATATAAAAATGACTAAAAATTCTGAATTTATTTTCGTTATTTTATATTAACACTTATTTTTCCTTAAAGTTATTTTTTTATAGCAATATATTTTCTAAGGGAAAATTTATTAATAGCTTAAAATGATATTTATACAGGAAATTTCTAAGTGGTGGGGAATTTTCTACTTTCCCATCTTATGGTTATATCTATCCCCAAATTCCTGGTTATTTAGAACTTTACAACCTTTCATCGGATACCGGCCTCACAAAATTTTCTGGACATATTGGGAAATCTCTTATCAGGGACTCCACTTGCATAACTATGTTTCCACAAACTTTAATAGCAATACCCTTACCCTATCAGAAACATAAAAAATAAACAAAAACTGACTCAACCATATCCATAATAAATGAACAATTTGCTCACAAAACACCTTCCCATCCTCAAAAAAATAAATAAATTTAATAAAATATTCCGGAATTGCCGTTTCTCTAAATAATTAAGTGAACTAAGTAAATTATACGGCTAAAATTCAAACATACATTTAATTTTAAATCTTTTATTACTGTATAAGTGATAATAAAATAATCTAAAATGTCATAAAAAAAATATATCTGAAATGTTTTTTTTTTAAATTTTGTGATCAGGAAATAGACCGCATAATATAGATTGTCAAATTTTGGGGTGGTGGTGGATCAACATCAGCCTAAGTTCAAAATGAGAATTGTATTAATTGTAATATAATTTAAATTTATATTTTATAGTTATCTTTAATAGGGGGTCACATTTTAATTGTATATTTTAATGATTATTAAGAAACATTAGAATTTTTTTTCCTGAATATATTTAAAAGCATAAATGGCCTTTTAAAAGAAATATATTATGCATTTAATTAATAAATCAAACAAGCAATTTAAAATTCAATTAATGTGAAAACTAAATAAGTTTCCTTAGATATATTTATTGAACACAAAAAAAAGGTAACGAAACTAGTCATAAACTTATAATAATTTTACAAGAAATGGTTATATTATCATAAGCTTAAAGTGTTATATTAAAAATGTTAAGTAATAATATGTAGTTTTTACAATGTTTACCTAATTAATTCTTCTAGAAATATACAATAATTAAAGGTTCCATTTTTATTATAATACATTATAATTATAATGATTAAACATTATATTTAATGTATTATTACAAGTCCATTACTTACATATTTAACTTAAAATAAGTATTTAATTTTATATTTCTTTTAAAAATAAATGTTAATATTGAGTGAGTTAAATTAAAAATTTGCGAAAAACTTGCAGGTCAAAATATTTATCCATCGGCAAAACTAACTTATCATAATAATATTAGAATAGGAAAAAACTAATTATCATGAATTGAAACTATTTATTTAGGACCCGGCTGTTCATTGAGTAAATATAAGAGGTCTGCAAGCTCGCCTGGACTTGGGTAACGTCTGGACAGGCTGGACTAAAAAACGAGCCGGATGGGCCAATAAATTACTACCCTGAATTATTGATGAATTCTGATATCCCCCCCCCCCCGGAATTTTTTCTTCTATTTTATTAATATTTAGGGTTTTCACTAATTTCTTGTTAGAGTCTCTTATACGCCGGGCACTGATAATAAAAAGGTTTATAATTTTATAAAAAATAAATGACATATTTTTTAAAAACCTAAGATTTGTCATCAGCATTGCTGCCATTCAAATTAAATTTGGAATTTGATAAGCAGGGCTAAAAAAAAACATAATTAAAAAATACGAATAAATTAATTTTTATAAGAAAACAAATTCCAAACACAAAAGTACATACAATTACGCCCGAAAATACCTTCTCAAATGATTTAGCATAAATTGATTATCAGGAAAGTTAATGTACTAGACAAAATTTTTTTCTAACAGACAATACAATAACAATAAATATTATTTGTTAATTATAAACGATTTAAAAAGCATTTTTATTAAAATACCTATTTTTCGCAAGTGCTCCTTAGTATTGTTTAAACAGGTTTTTAGGCGAGAGGCGTGGCTGCTTTCTAGTTTTAAGTTTAGAAAATTTACTACTGTTTAGCAGAATAAATTATTGTATATTTATTTTCATTGACCTTAAAATTATATAGATAAAAGATATATGGATATATATGATTATGCTTTGTGTACTTTTTAAAATCAGAGGGTAGCGCCATTTTTTAAATTTGGAACGG